GGTGGAGACAGGAGGAGGGGGAAGAGAAGAGAGACTATTCGCAAGGTATCTGAGACACATCTTGGTGTTAGCTCCTGGAAAAAGCAAAAGCCTGGCACAGGAGAAAAGAATAGCTGTTTTCCCACTGGTCTCTGTTCTTTTGTAAATTTTATGCCCATTCTGAGTTTTGGTAAAGGCAGCTCTAAAATGTTTATGCCCATTTAATAAGGTCTAGAAGAAAGATTCATGTGTTAAAACAGTTCACAGATGTTCAGCAGATAGAACTTCTGTTTGACTTATTTTATATATAGACCTTGAACTCATGATTCGTCTGTCTTCTGAGTGCTGGGTTTTACAGTTGTGTTTAACTATATTCATTTCTCAGCCTCAGGATTTGTTATTTCAGCTAATAGAATTCTCTGTTGGGTGAATGTGGCACAGTCTTACTAATATAAAAATCGTGTGCGTGTATGTATGTTTCTGTGTGTGTGTGTATGTGGTAGATTCTGTGTGTGCATAGGTGTCCTTATTGTGTGTGTGTACGTGGAGGCCCGTGGTCAACTTTGGCTATCTTCCTCCATTGCTCTCCCCTCTTTTTATTAAAAAACCAAAACCCCAAAACAGACAAACAAAAACTTACGGTGTTTTATTTGCTTGCCTGTATGTTTACCAGGTGTGTGTGTCTTTGTTGGAACCCCTGGATTGGGGTTATGGATGGTTGTGCTGGGAATATGTGTGTGCTGGGAATTGAACCTGGATCCTCTGCAAGAGCCACAAGTACTCATAGTGGCTGAACTATCTCTCCAGCCTCACCCATCTTATTTTTTGAGACAAGGCCTTTCACTGAACCTAGAACCAGTAAAGCATAGGGGTTTCTCTGTCTATGTTTACCCAGTTCTGGGGTTACAGGTTTGTGCCACTATGTCTGGCCCTTGCCTCGGTGTTGGGGATCTGAACTTAGGTCCTTGTACTGGTGTGGAAAGCTCTTTTCACAGTGAGCCATCACCCCAGTTCTGTTATAAGATGTTTAGCAGTGCCCTTGTCATCTGTCTACTAGAAGCTAATACACTCCTTACCCCACAAAGTCACCCTAATCGGAAATGTCTAGATAACGCTAAATGTCATTGTGGGGGAAAAATCAACTGTAACTGAGACTCAGTCCTCTTTGTATATAAGTTATGAGGATAGCTAGAAGATAAGCTAATGTTGATATGATCTCCTATAATATTCTATATAATATAAAATGTGCCATAGACAGCCACTGTTCTAAGCCTTAAGTATAATAGCTTGTTTTAATAATTTTGAGTTAAGTACTGTTATCGCAGTTTTATAGATCAGAAAATGGAGGGAAAGAAAGGTTAAATGAATTAATAGGTGCTAATGTTGTTACAAGTATATGTTGTTAGGGACTTCTCTAAGTCCCTTACCTGTATATTATTTGATTTAACCCTTACACTGTTTAACTACTGTGAGGTAGTTCTGATATTGTTATGGGTTTATAGATTTTGTTGGATATCTGTTGCTAAGCATTGATAACACACTGGGGTAAAGGCTTGATTTCTTTCTTTTTAAGGCTTTAGTCTTGTTTACCTAATAAAACATTTTACTTTTCAGAATACTTTTCTCCATTTTTTAAAAAAAACTCCAAACAATACTGGGAAGTATCAGTATTATCTCCATTTTGTGGTTTAAGAAAGTGAGAAAAAAAGTGGGAGATTATGGCATATGCCTTTAATTCCAGCACTCTGGATTAAAGTGCTGATCTCTGAGTTCGAGGCCAGCCTGGTTTACAGATTGAGTTCCAGGAAAGTCAGGGTTCCACAGAGAAACCTTGTCTCAGAAAAACAAAACAAAGCAGAAACAGAAAAGAGGGCTGTGTAGGTACATGGCAACTGCTGGAGCTGTCTTGTCTGTCTTGTCTATTAAGGATCGGCCATAATGCCTTCAGCTGAACTGGGTAGTAAGGTGTCAAAGAAATACTGAGCCCCTGTGTGTGTGAGAAGGTGAGCTGAGAGAAGCTACTTCTGGTTTGTAATCTGGGATTTGTTGGTAAAATTTCTACATCTTACCAATTTGCATTGGCTGTGGAACACAGGTTGCAATTATATTATAATTGGAGTGTTTATTTTATTTTTTAAAATATCCAGCTTGAGTATTCTGTCTTGTAAAGTCCATGAGCATAGAGATGGTTTTGTTAAACATAGACTTGCATACAGTAGTTGTCTTATTTGTGAAAATACTGAATTGTCAGTAAGCACATGGGAAGGAAAGTGATTGACAGGTTGATTTAGTCAAGATTTTGATAGTAGTTTAGGACAAGTTCTGATTTTTTTTCTGTCCTCAGGCCCTGAATTCTTTATAAACTGCATGCTGCTTGTTTTTTGTATACTTGTCATGACTAGGGCTAAATGATTTCGTGCTGTTGGCTTATTAAGTTCCTTAGTTTTCTTCCTTTAACAAAAGTGCTAAACAGCTGTTCTTTTTCTCTTTTCCATTTTTGTTTACTCATAAATAATGTCCTTTTATATAGTCTGTGACCACTGAATAAATGTCTCTGAAGGACCAGGGTGGCTGTGCTGTCTCTGCCAACCCAGAACTGGAAGTCATGTTACAGCTACTATTCTTGACAACTGCTTCCTATTTCAGTGATGACATGGTGGTCAAAGCTTGCCAGCTAAAATAGAAAGTTAGTTTATAGGGAAGAAGGCTTTAAAAAAAAAAGATAGACGTGTACCCTTGGCTGGTCTAGAACTTGCCATGTTGACCAGGCTAGCCTCTAACTCACAAAGATCTGCCTGCCTCCATCCTCTAAATGCTGGGATCAAAGACACTCACCACCACCCCTGGGTAACCTTTTTTGTTGGCAAAGGGGAATGTGGTTAGGGCTGAGTACCTCTATATATACACTTAGAGCTTTCTTACCCTTCATAGTAAATTTGGAGAGCTGCCCGTTTTCTCTAGCTTATGGAGAAAAATCACAAAGCTACTTAAGTAAAATAAGGAAAATGTTTTTGTCTGTTAGTTTCAGTGGTTTTGGTTATTGATACTAGTGGCAAGGAGTGCCTATCAAGAAAAATAAGTGTCTCAGATAATTTAACTGTATGTAAAGTATTTTCATGTTTGTTTTTTTGTTTGACCCAATCATCTAGCTATTTTGTAAAGGTATGAGTTCCTATTATATCCATATTTTACAGATAAAGAAGCTGACGTCCAATGAGAAGTCATGATTGTATAGGCAGTAAGTGGTAGAGTCAGGGTTTTTAACGGAGGCCTACCTCTTAAGTCCAGTAGGTGTTTTGCTTCTTTACCACAGCTTTGTCAGTGTTATGTTAAATAGCTTTATTTTATTTTTGTTTATTTTTTGAGATAGGGTCTCCTAGAGTCCAGGGTGGCCTCAACTCTCTAGACCAGAATGATTTTGAGTTTCTGATCCTCTTGCCTCTACTTTGCAAGTGCTGGGATTTTAAGAATATGTCATCAAGTATGGTTTTGTGCAGTTCTGAGGATGGAACCCAGGATTTCATTCATGTATGTAGCATGAATTGTTAGAAGGTCTTGTTAATAAAAACAAACCCAAGCTAGGTATTGGGGTCAACGTTGGAAGATCAGAGAGACAGAATAGGCCACAGCTACCTCACCTTGCCAGTTCCTCAGCTGATCCTGTTTCCTCAGACTGGAAGCCTTTGAGTCCTCATCCAAATGGATCTCTGCTGAACTGCTGCTAAAAGCCTAAAAGCTTAACCAGCTCTAGTTCCTTTTCCTCACGCCTTAAATACCTTTCTGCTTCTGGCCATCACTTCCTGGGATTAAAGGCTCTTGTTACCACGCCTCGCTATTTCCAGTGTGGCTTTGAACTCACAGAGATCCAGAAGAATCTCTGCCTCTGGAATGCTAGGATTAAAGGCATTTGTGACACCATTTTCTGGCCTCTATATCTAGTGGCTGTTCTGTTCTCTGACCCCAGATAAGTTTATTAGGGTACATAATATTTTGGGGAACACAATATCACCACACATGTATGCTAGGCAAGTAAGTACTCTACCAACTGAGCCATATCCCCAACCTCTAACAGCTTTATTAAATAGAATTCACATACCATAAAATTCATATAAAGCATATACAATTCAGTGTTATTTTAGTTTATTCAGAGTTGTTAGTACAACCAGTACTACAACCTAGTTTTAGAATATTTGGCCATCTTATGAGAAACCCGTTAGCATTCACTCTCAGTCTCTTTTATTTTTGTAGATTTGATTTACTTTTGACATTGCCTGTAAGTGAAGTCATACAATATGTAATCTTTGTTTGTGTTACAGGTGTACATATGTAGGTGCATGCATGGAGGCCAAATGAGGATGTCAGATACCCTTTTTTGCTCTGCTATATTCCTATGGGACAAGGACTGTAGTAGGGCCTTTTTTGTCCCACCAGCCGGCTCCCAAATAACCACATGGAGACTTCTTATTGTTTATGAAAGCTCAGACGATAGCTTAGACTTGTTACTAACTAGCTCTTACAACTTAACCCATATCTTTTTTTTAACAAGTTAAACTGAATGTTTAATGCATTTGTAGGAATAGAAGTACAGCAGAATTAGAATTTATTTGATTGACATTGATGTTGATGTTACATTTTTCAGAGAAGCTTCCCCTAGTTCCTTCTTTTCCAGTTAACTTGGAGCAATAACTATTCCTAAGGACCAGCTCTCCACTATGCTGGACAGTAATTACATCTTTCACACTTCATTCCATCGACTGTACCGTTTTATAGTAAGACTCATCCCACTTAAGTCACAAGAGCCCACAGGAAATGAAAACAGAAGTCAGAATCATGCGAATCGATGCAAAGGCCCAAGGACTTCAGGTTCTAGGTGTCTGCTCACATAAATCTTCTATTTATTCATATTAGTAAAATGGAATAACAGAAATGAAAGCTACCTTAATGAAACAGAAACTCAGGGTGAGGTCATTAAATATAACTACTTACACTTTAAATATAAAGACCATGTCTAGATAAGCTAGCTAAACTGCTTATCTAGAATCCTGGTCTCAGAGAAAAAAGGCAAGAGACAAAGAAGGTGCTTCATATTATTGGGTCCATTTGAAACAGACAGGGGCTTTCAGAAAACCACCCTAGTCTTTATTTTTATCAGAGACCTCTGTTGGTCCTTTTGTGGGTAATCCAATGGTATCTGCACCCTTGCAGTCTACTTTGCCTGTATTTTTAGCATTGGATTCATGTATAGCTTTTTAGGCCATATACTGCTGACAACAGGGGAAACCAGAGGGTATATGTATGACTCCAGGAATTTTTTGAAGATCCAGAGCAGAACTGGAATGACAATACAATAATGCACATCATCGTCCCAGGCTTGAGTTCCTAAATGTATGGTTCCAAAGATGAGAACCAAACCGCTGCCACTGAAGGGAGGAAGGAAGACACCGAGGTCGATGGACGAAGACTGGTGCCCAGATGTGTGGCAAGGGCAGGCTACTGGCGCACCACACAGCAGTGCTGGACACAGCCACCGGACAGTGTCACTGACAGAGACCCGACTCCACCAAAAGCTTACGCTAACCCATATCTTTACTCTAAAGGTTCAGTTCCCTTTACTCTCTACTGCCCTGCTGCTTCCTCTTCATCTGCTGGGGACTCCTGGCGTCTTTGCCCTTCTTCCCAGTGTCCTAGGCCTCCAAAATCCTGCCTAGCTATTGGCTCTTCAGCTTTTTATTAAACCAATCTGAGTGGCAAATCTTCACAGTGTACAAAAAGATTATTCCACAACAAAGGACTCTTACTAAACCTGAGGCTACCCGGTTTTTGTTTTTGTTTCTGGCTAGGCTACTGGCCAGAAAGCCCCAGCAATCTTTCTTCCTTTCTCCCTTTATCACTGGAGTTATAGGTACATGTAACTACACCTGCCTCCTTATGTGGGAACTGGGGATTTGAATATTTCAGATCTTCACTGTATTCTTCATATTTTAAACATTATTTTTTTTGACACTTCACAATAGTGATTTATCCTCATTTGATAGACTAAAATGTCCAGATCAGAGAAACACATAACCAGCTCAAAGGACAGAGTCAAGAATCAAAACTGGATTCAACTTCAAAGTCTGTGTTTTTTTCTATTTTATTTTATTTCCTTTTGGTAAAGAGATCTTTCCTCTGGTGTGCTCTCCCTTTGAAAAAAGGTCTTGACATTGTGGGTAATATGGGTCCTTTTTAAGGAAGAATAAAATTTGCTCTTGTTGACAGTTCTAGGTTGTCTCGACAGCCGAAACATTTCCGAACACTGGAGGAGACGGTAGGTCTGAGACTAATTTAGTCACTCATTGTTTGGATACTCAAAGGACTGGACTGAAATGAGAACAAGGATCTTTAGAATGACAGAGCTATGTCCCAGTGTAGAAGGGAAATTTAGGGTCATCAGGCTTTGTACCTAATTAGGTGAATCTTTTTTCTACTGAAGTAGGAGAATCTCTTGCTAAGTTCTTCCTCACCAAATGCCAAAAGAAACTAGTATCTTGTAAACCTCACCAAAAAACTAGTTTAGAAGATTCTTTGACTCTGTTGAAGCTGTATCACCTTCTCTTTTCTTTTGTATAACCCTGATGTTTATCAGTACCAGATGTATAAGCTTATCGTCTTTACAAAAGGATTTTTCTTGGTATCCCATAAGCTCTATATAGCATAAAGGGAATAAGCAGTGATTCTCAACCTTCCTAATGCTTTGACTCTTTAATATAGCTCCTCATGTTTGTGGTGACCCCAACCATAAAATTATTTTTGTTGCTACTTCATAACTGTAATTTTGCTACTGTTATGAATTGTAATGTAAGTATCTGTGTTTTCTGATGGGCTTAGGCAACCTCTGTGAAAGAGTCGTTTGACCCCCAAAGGGATTGCAGCCCACAGGTTTAGAACCATTGGAATAAGGAGCTTAGAGTCTAGCCTCAGTCTTACTCTTAACATTATTATGTGGCTGTGTGATCCTAGAGTAATGGCTCATTCACTATCCCACAGCAACTACTGTGCTTCAGATCCTCATCACTTTTATTTTTCATCAAACTTTTCTTTGAAATTATCACAGACTATTTTGTCTGGCTAATCTGAACCTTAGTACCACAAGGAGGATATTCTGAGGGGAAGGAGATACTTGATAAAACCTTTCTGCTTTTCATAGTCAGAATTAATGTCCTGTTTCACATGTGTGCTGAAGCACTTTCTACATTCTTCATGTTTTTGTGATTAATTCTGCACATCTGTGTTGCCTCTGACTACTTGGCTGTTCCTTCAGTGTGCTCAATACAGGCACTGCATCCAGCAGATGCTTTCATTTGAAAACCATCCTTATCCCTCACCAAGCTATGAGAGGCTCTAAGTACAGGAACAGGTTTAGACCCTGGGCACCACAGGGTCTAAATGTCTATCTTGTGCCAGAGATCCTTCTGAGATTACATGTTCACACTCTTCTCTGCCTTTGTAAATTCTAAATGCATCCTTTACACCACCCCCCCTCCCACACTATCATCCTAAAGAAGAGAATTCCTGGCCACAAGCATATGGGTATTTTAAGCTGCAAAACCAGGTATGTCACTCTATCAAAAAGTCTGTCCCAGTTTGCCTGAAGGTGCGCATTATGTCACCATGTGACACCTGAAAGCATGTCTACCATCCAGTCTGTCTGCAGAGGCATTAAGGCAAAGGAGGGCTTCAGACTTTCCCAGTGACTTAGTGGCATTGTTCTGGTTTGTGTGGGACCTGTATGGAGAAAGGAAACAATCTAGGCTGAGTTTCTTGCAGGCTGGTGGAGTTGTCTGGGAAAAAAGATAGAGAGAACTGCGTTTTTAGGGTTTATTGGTTTACTCACTTGTTGAAACCATAGCAGCATGTTGAACCTCTCTGATTTGTGAATCCATTCCTTTAGGCCTTTATCTTTTCCATCCCAAGTTGGAACCTTTTGGATCTGTCTATTAGTTGATGTTTTGTGATAATAGCAGTGATTAGTAAAGAATGGATTGTGCTCTCTGAG